ATTAGAATTATGAATATAGATATAAAATTTTTTTTTATTAGCGACACACATTTAGGAGAAATTAAAAATAAAAGAGAAAAAAAAAACACATGACAGGAAAAATGACGACATGACAGAAAGCACAGTTGACAAATTGACAAAAGAGTTATGGCAACACTGTAAAAATTTACGGTAGTGGAGTGTATGGCAACTCCTTTTATATATATATTTGTTCTTTGTTCATTGATTTGGAAAGACTCGAAATTTCTCTAGGTGTGGTTTGTTCAATTGAATTTGATTTGTGGAATTTGGTATTTTTAGGAAACGTAATTATTTTTTTTTTTTTGCATCCATTTTTTTTTTTTTTTTTTTTTTTTTGAAATGAGACTCAAGATTTTATTAATTGCCTTTTTTTTTGGTATATTGCCTGCTGTTGTTATTTCGTTGTTTTTTCCGTTGTTTTTTTTTTCCAATCACCGTATCAGTGCACGATCATCACAATCAGTAATCCAATCACTGTAAGATTTGAGCCCTGTTAGCTAGCTTGGATGGTATACAGACGCACACACGCACACAAACTCAAAAAAAAAAAAAAAAAAAAAAAAAGTATGAGAATTTTTTTTTTCTTTCGCATTTCAAAATTTATTAAGAAAAAAAAGTATGAGATTTTTTTTTCTTTCGCATTTCAAAGTTTATTAAACAAAAAAAAAAAGGATGAGATTTTTTTTTTCTTTTTCGCATTTCAAAATTTATTCTGTGATTTTATTCCATAAGATGATAATCTAAGTATTTTCTATTTTTTGTGAGCCACAATTTTTTGCAGTTTGATATTTTTTTCTTGCTTTTTTCACTAATTACAATTGATTTTTTTTAATGCAACAACAATAAGAAACAAAAGAGATAATAATAATGATCATGAAAATTATAGCCAAAAAGAAAATAAAAATAAAAATCCATTTTTTGACCAACAAGAATCAAAAGTGATAATGATAATAATAAAAAAGATAATAATAATAATGATAAAACATATATGTCTAGCTGAAGAAATATATACAGACCCCTGACCCCAAAAAATTATACCAATACCAGAAAATTTCAAAAAACAAAATAAGAAATTCAAATTCAAGCCCCCACCCAAAAAAATAATAATAATAATGATATAATAAAATTTAAAAAATGAAAATTTTGACCCCCACTCAAGACAAACCAGAAAATTTCAAAACCCAAAATTTTTAAAAATGGAAATTTTAACCCCCACCCCTCAAAAAAAAAAAAAAAAAAAAAAACTGTACCACATTCTCATGATACTTGCCCAACGCCCCAAAATTTCGCTCCCCCCAAACTTCCTCGGAACGGAATTGCCATAACTCTCCACTACTGTAGAGAGGTGACGGCGAGGACGAGCTCGCCCGCTATTTCTTGGAGGTGAAGGATAAGGACGAGCTAGTCTGCCGCGAAGTGTTACCAAAGCTACAACACCGCCTCAGAGCCACTATGGGAAGGGTGAAGGTGAGGGTACGCGGACTAGCTTGCCTGGCCCCACACTCTGTGACTTGCCTTTGCTTGCTACCTTTATAAAAAGTTCTTAGGTGGGCAATTTTTTTTTTTTTTTTTTTTTTTTTTTTTTGGCTTGCTTTTTTATGTGTGAAAAGTTTGGGTTTGGGTTGGTTTAGGTTGATGTGGCTTGCTTAAGGTTGGTTTTTGGCTTGCTTTAGGTTGCTTTGGCTTGGTGTGGCTTGCTGTAGGTTGCTTTGGCTGCTGTAGATTGAATTTTTTGATTTATTTTGTATTGTTTTTGTTCTGCGTCTATTTCTTTGTCTGTTTGTTCGTTTTTGTCTGTTTCTTGTCTCTGCTTGAGCAAATACATGTTTCTCATATTCCTTCTGATTCCAATTCTTATTATTCTCTTCCATCTCCCTTTCATTACCCTCTTTCTCTTCTTTTCTGATTCTGGTCAATTCTTATCTTTCTTCTTTTGAACTCATCTCCCTTTTTTCTTATTGCTTCATCTTTTTTTTCTTCTTTCGTCTCGTTTTCTTCATTCTTTCTTTCCTCTTCCTCCTCTTTATCTCTCTCCATCTCTCTTCCTTCCTTCTTTCCCTTCTTTATCCTTTTTTTCCTTCCTCACTTCCTTCTTTGCCTTATCAGTTCTTATATCTCTCCATCTATCGCCTTTCTCTTCACTCTCTTCTTTTCCTATCTCATCTCCTTCTCCACTCTGACCACTCTCTCTCTCCTCTCTTTCTTCTCTTCTCTCTCTCTCTCTCTCTCTCTCTCTCTCTCTCTCTCTCCTCTCTCTCTCTCTCTCTCTCTCTCTCTCTCTCTCTCTCTCTCCTCCCTCCTCTCCCTCTCCCTCTCCCTCTCTCTCTCTCCTCTCTCTCTCTCTCTCTCTCTCCTCTCCTCTCCCTCTCCCTTCTCTCCCTCTCTCTCTCTCTCTCTCTCTCTCTCTTCCTTTCTTCTCTTCTTTGCATCTCTTTTATCGTCTTCTTGAGACTGACTGGTACTCCTTTGTAGACGTGACTGGTTCCTGTGGTAGCGGTTGACTGGTACTTCTCGTCGGACTGGCTAATCCTCTTTCCTTCGTTTATCCTGTTATTATTCCTTTTATCCTTGTCCTCTTTCGTTTTTTTCTTTTTTCTTTTGTTTTTATTGTTTATTGGTTTGTAATTATTCTTTTTTTTTTATCTTTTATTTACTTTATCGTTTATATTTCGACTCCCTTTTATATATCAAGGTGCCTTGCTTCTCCTGTCCTTCGCCAAGCTTCAAAAAAAAGACTTGAAAAAGACTCGTGGCTGTTAAGAGTCAGCTGACAACACCCTCCCCCCCGTCACATACAATTCCTCTAACAAATGTCAAATCATGTCAGTTGTTCAATTGGATTCAAACTCTCTCCGCGTTTTTCCAGATTCTCTCACGCGTGCTTATTTCAAATTGTATCGGGCGCGTGATTTTCAATTTCTCTCGCGCGCTTGTGCGTCTTTTTCAAAATTCTTCGCGCTGCGGTTTTTCAAATTCTCGCGCGCCTTTTTTTTTTCTATTTTTTTAAATTCTTCGCGCGCTGTTTGTTGTTTTTGCGTTTTTATCCCTTTGATGTGATGCGCATCCGACTTTTTTGTCTTGGCAAGGCGCAGGCTGCGAATTTTATAGTTATATTATATTCACCTTGCCTATTTTTTCACCTTTTTTTCATCTTTGTTACTAATGGTATTGGTTAATATCATTATTTCTCTTTTTTTACGGTTATCTTTATCATTATTGGTATTATTATCATTATCATTCTGTGGACTATTACTTTGTTATCTTTATAGTTATTAATTATTATTATTATTATTATTATTATTATTGTTATTCGTTAATATCATTTTTTATCCTGTTCTTTTCTATACCACCTTTTGATAGTCCCTGTCCCCCCTCCTTAATCCCCCCCTCCCGCCACACCCCACCCTTCCAACCTCCTTTTTAAAACCCCCCTCCCCCCTTCCCCCTGTCCCCCTCCCCTCCCCCCTTCCAACCTCCTTCTTTACCCCCTTCCCCTCTCTTCAATCCCGCCCACCCACCTCAACCCCCTTTCCAACCTCCTTCTTTAACCCCCTCCCTCCCCCTTTCACCCTTCACCCCCACCCCCTTCCAACCTCCCACGTAAAAAAAAAAAAAAAAAAAAAAAAAAAAAAAAAAAAAAAAAAAAAGGTATTTCCCCCCCGTTCGTGCGTAGGCCGCCCCCCTCCCCCCCCCCTTCCTCTTCTCGTGTTCACTGTGGGGGGGATCCCCCCCGCCATGTTACCAAATAAGGAAATTGTATAATGATGACGTGGAATGAAAAGGATGATGGGTTATTATTATTATGGATTTATGATGTTATTAATGGATGTTGTTTTACCGGTTATTTTTTTTTTTTTTTTTTTTTTTTTTTTTGTATTTCAGTTAGGCGCTATAGACTAATATATATTATATATATATATATATATATATATATATAATATATATTATATATATTATATAATATTATAATATATATATATTATATATACATATGTATGTTATATATATACTGTATATATTTATGTATATAGTTATACTGTATTAATTTATGTATATATGCATATATGTACATATGTATGTGCGTTATGTATGTATGTATATATTTATGGTTATGTGTGTATAGTATAGTGTCTTCTTTTCTATGTATCACTTCTTTAGACTTCCATAATATTCTTTTCCACACTGAAACGCACTGTTAATGAATTACTTAATAGTCGACATGACCTCTCATTACTTACTTTCTCTCTCTCTCTCTCTCTCCTCTTTCTTTCTCTTTCTCTCGCTTCTCTCTCTCTCTCTCTCTTTTCTCTTTCTCTTTCTTTCTCGTCCCTCTTTTTCTCTCTTCTCTCTCCTTCTCTCTCTCTCTTCTCTCTCTCTCGTCTCTCTCTCTCTCTCTCTCTCTCTCTCTCTCTCTCTCTCTCTCTCTCTCTTCCTCTCTCCCTCTTTCTCTCTCTCTCTCTCTCCCTCCCTCCCTCCCTCCCTCCCTCCCTCCCTCCTCCCTCCCCTCCTCTCCTCCCCTCCCTCCTTCCTTTCCTTCCTTCCTTTCCCTCATCCCTCCCTCCTCATCCCTCCTCCCTCCCTCCTTCCTCCCTTCCTCCCTCCCTCTTCCCTCCCTCCTCCCTCCTCTTCGTCTCTCTTCTATCTTCTCCTCTTTTCTTTAACTCAGATTTTTATTTTTCCTCAACTCACCTCTCTTCTCATTTCTCCTCACTCCCCTCACAACTCACTTCCCTCCTTCACTTCACCTCCTCGCTCCCCTCATTCATTTCACCTCATTTCCCCTTCAAACTTCTTCCTCATATTCTCCTCACTCATTTCTCCTCATCCCCCACAGCTCACTCCGTCCTTCGCCTCTCTCCCTCCCCTTTCCCTCCCTCCCTCCCCTCCCTTCATTTCACCTCATTCCCCCACAACTCACTCACCTCGCTCACCTCCCCTCGCTCCCCCCTCATCTCATTTCTCCTCATTTCCCCCACCAGGCCCTGGAGACGGCGCTGAGGGAGGCCAAGGAGGGAGCAATGAGGGACAGGAAGAGGTACCAGTATGAGGTGGACCGCATCAAGGAGGCTGTGAGGCAGAAGAACCTAGCAGGAGGGGCAAGGGAGCGCATATTCAGGTTGAGAGTCAAAGAATGAGTGCTGACGTCAGGTTATAGTC